CGTTCAACCCAAGGCAGCAGCAGGCATGCTGTAAGTCGGTCTGGGTTGGTTTGGATCAATAAAGGTACCATTTCATCAGCAAATTTACCTGGCAGTTAAAAATAGATCATAAAAGACCCGTAGTGTTTTATAGCGATTAAAAGGGAAAGGATTAGTGATTGTAAAGAACCTAATGGGTTTGATCCCGTACGCTGAGATGTGACTTAACCTCCTAAAATTGCGTGATACCCTACGCTCACTCCAGTCTCTGACAGGATTACATTAAGTAATGATCAAAGAACAAGAAACTTGCCACTCAAGCAGTCTGCAGTGACAGACTTCTCTGAAGATAAATGCTTCTACAAGGCTCCAGAAAAATTTGTACATGATGCAAGTATGAAGACACTGTCCGTAAAACTTCACGTTTATAATAAGTCTTTTAAACTTCATCATCCTCTTACAAGAGTTTAAAGTGAAAAAAAGAAAAGGTAAAGTTTGCATCTCTGAGCAAGCGGATCACTATTAAAAGTTTGGTACCGATCCCTTTATTCTGCTCAACAATGAACTCACAAGTGAAAAAATTCAAAGTTTGTCACAACTACATAGAAACAGGCATTACTTCACACAGACATGATTTTTAGAAACACACTCATCATTTTAAAAAAATTACGGAAAACTGTCAAAAATGCACGTAGGTAATAAATCAGAAAACTCTTATTCAAATTAAGAGATTTGAGTTTACAGATTTGAGGGTCACGTAGAAATTTATATCAAGTTGTTGAACTCCCATTTGGTTTTGATCAATGCAAGAAGTAAGTGCAAAACTTACCATCTCAGGCTTCATTTTTTTAACTGCGAATAAAACACCAGAACGACCATTAAACATTTTTTCCTAAAAGCATTCATGTAAAAAAAGGGATCCATGGTTAGTCTGGCTGGAGTTCTGTAAGCACCTGCTCTGCGGTTACCAAAGCTGGGGACTGAGTTGAACAAAGACCATCACAGTACCTTTTTTCTTGCAGTTGCATTACTTCGTGGGTTGAGAATGAGACGAAGAACTAGGAATGAGTAAGTGCTTATCTCAGCTGTGATAATGCCCCGCTGCACGGCCCCAGCTCCTGTCTGGATTCTCACCCAGATCACAGACAGCAATGTGCACACGGAGTGCCTATCTCCAAAAAGATAAGCAATCCTACCAACAAATAGGACTTGAGGCAAGAGAGGCGTAATTAACACCAGCGGCACACTTCTAATCCATTAAGCCTGAGCAAGAGCTTTCCCCAGATGACTCCAGCCTCGCCTCGCCCCCAAACCAGGACGTCACGGCGGGGGTGACATGCAAGATGGGGAGAGTTAAGTGACAAGATTAGAAAGGCAACAGTGGCCAGAAACGCCTAGGGATGAGAGATCCCATGTAACAATGGGGATGCTCAGCCCTGCCACCGCGGCCTCTGCCTTCCCCATGACCCAGCAGGACAGAGCCACCTCCTCTGTCACCCCATGGGCAGCAGTGCTCTTTTGCATCCTGGAAACACACACATTTGAGAAGTGTTTCACCCAATACACGTTTCTCCTCAGGATCCTGCTGGCCAGATGTGCTAGAGGAGGGAAAAGCCCAGTGCCAGCAGAACCTTAACGTGGCTGCCGTGCACCCCTGCAAGCGGAAGCCAGGCCCCAGCCTGGTCACCACTGAGCAAAAGCAGGTCTGACATACTTTCTCAGTATGTATTACAAGAACAAATTCACATTTTGAAGGCATACACAGAAATATAAACTTCTTCTGACTGAGTGAGAAGAAAGAACACTGTCAGTATATGTTCACTGTGAAGGAAAAAAAGGCCATTTTAAATACTACTTCTGCAGGAGACCAGTGCTCTTATGAAACAATATTGCTCTATGAACCATAAAAACGTAGTAAAGGAGCCTAAATAGTAATTCCTTCACCAAAGAAACCAACCAAATGATCCACTTTTAATGCTAGTTCATTCAAGGGGAAGGGGAATTGAAGATACCCACACTCATTTGAATGTCAGCTATCCTGAACATACACAGTTAAATTAAGTACTAGGGCTCTCTTTACTTAAGTAAGAGACATAAGAGAAAGGAAAAGCTTCAAAGAGGGTAACAATAATTTAAAATATTAAAGTATTTGCATACAAATCTTTAATTCATGGCCCATCACAGGGGTTTCTACAGAACGAGTTCCCACAACAAGCGGGGAGCTCCACGTGAGGGGGAGATGCAAGCCCACGTCACAACCTAGTGGGTAATGCTTTGTAATAACAGAGATTAACAATCATAAATACTCATTACAGTGTATTTAATGTGCAGATATTTCCTTTTTAAGGAGTTCATGGAGATTGCATAGACAACCCCCATTAAAAGCAAGCACAAGAAATCTATTTAATTTCTTAAATTAAAAAGGAAAGGAAAACTGAGCTGGGATAAAGAACACCGAATTCAACAACTACTGATGCTAAGTTTTCTTCAGAAAGCGGAAAACTACCTTTGTCTGAGTGATCAGGCATTTAAAAACTTAAACCCAGAGTCCCGCCGCGTGCTCTAACATCACACCACTGGAGCCTGACTGAATTCCATGCGGAGGGGCCAGAAAGCCCGGAGCCCTCCCCGAGCAAGCAGGGCTCACAAAAGGTCCATCGGCTGCGTTCAGCATCTGTCAGGGAGCACTTAGCAACAGGCTGGGGAGAGAAATTCAACACTGCGTTTACTCATTAGCGTTACGCCACGGAGGGAATCTGACGGCAAGTTTGTAAACAGTTTTCCCACTCTGGCACAAACGTTATTGCAAGTTCTCGTCAAAGAAGTGTCATTCACAAACCCTTACCCTGCCCATTCTCACGTGAAGTTACATTATACAGGCTGTTTTTCAAGACCATGGGGAACCAACGGCCATGTATGAGCAGACTCATATAGGTGAGAGTTAAACCTAGGCATAGAACAAACCCTATGTCAGAAAAATTCATTATTTTGTCAGATTATAATGGAATATGGAAAAATATAGGCACCCCATTTTTATTTACTTGTCAAACAGGCAGCTGGTTATCGTGTTTTGATTTCTTAGTCATCTGTTGAGTTACAAATTACTTTTTGCTACACCAAGTACCGCAAGGACGACGCTTTCCAATTAGCTTACAGTCTACAAAGCAAGGATTGGTATTTCAACTCAAACTGCTGAAAACCCAACAGCTTGCAGATTTTCCATCAGAGGTGGTTGTTTACTCCTTGCCACTTAGCACTCACTCATCCAAGAAAACACCTAGCAGTGTTAACAGGACTCTTTTTATACATTCCTAATTAACTGAGCAGCTTTAGGAATGTGCTGTTGATTTATGAAGTTTATACCATTTCCCAACAAATCCTGATCAAATATATATATTCATAAATCTCAGGAAGTCACCAGGTTTGCAACAAGAAACTATGTGCAGAGACACACGCGCACTCTGTGCTATTGCTAACAAAGAAATACACCAACATGGAGAAAAATCCTAATGAGGATATCATTTGTTGACTACTCACAGTCCCACAAGCGTGCCACACTGACTCCTTGCATCAATAACTGACCACCCCTACAAGAAGCCACTAACTTGGTCTTTCTTAGACCAAAGCTGCCGAGTCCCTTCTCGTGTGCCCCTCCAGGCAAGTTGCACAGGCAGCATCAGCATCAGCTGCTCCTGGGATTCTCTTCCTCTTAGCACTGAGATCTGAGAATTATTTTCTGGGTGTTCACTGTCACAAACTCCAAAGAGACAGGTTTTGTCATACAGATTGGAATTTAATTCCTAATAAAGCCTTACATGTGACTGCCCAGAGCACGAGGATCCAACACCTCATTTCGTCAATAACTAATTCAATGCCTTACTAATGATAAAATCCGACACACACGACAGCTCTTGAGATGAGATGGCAGAGGATGTTCAGCTTCAAGCAGCATGTTCTCTTCCTGTCACAGCAACAAGAGCTCTTCTGCTTGCAGACAAACACCAAAGTAACCTCCGCTCGCAGACATGCTAATGCTGTGGAGAGTCCAAAATCACCACCTGCGACCTGACCGCGAGCAACGTGCAGAGCAAACAGCAGTTGATTCTGAAACCAAGGGAATCTTTCAAGTTTCTATCTAACTGCACACATCAGGTATTTTCAAGTGTATCGCCCAAGAGAGGCTTTGTAACTTCTGGGGAGATGAAAAGGAAGATGGGGGGAGAAAAGGGGAGAAATGGAATTTTTTTTCTTTTCTGTGCATGAAGACTCCCCAAGGTTTGTGTACTTCAACGTTAGCGCTGGGTTTTAACCTTTGATTTTCAAAGCAAACCAAAGTATCCAGAATAATTATTTTCTATGAAATAATTTATCTAGATCACATGTACATCCTTGCTACCAAGCAGGAAGTTCGTACGTGAAAAATAATGGTAAAGAGAAACCTTCGTAAAAGCATTGTGGCCTTGAAACCACAGCTGTACGTGCCTTCACACAGCACAGAACACAGAATCTGTGATGTTATTTAAACTAGCAAATGAGCTGCCCTCGCTCTTACTGAAGCTTGAATTACCACTATGCTTCTTTCAAGCAAGCAAACATGAGCATGTACAATAACGCTGATGCCGTACTGAGCTGCACTCCTGATGGAATCCACCCCAAACCATAGTTCAGATTTATTAAGAGAAAGAAGCAAACCCCCTATTCCTACATCTTACCAAAAGAACGCCAGGTAAAACAACAAAACCCAAGAACGACCATTCCTCAGTCCTGCCAACACATTTTTATTTACAATGCTCAACCGAAAACCCCTTAAACCAAAAAACCTCTTTTCTTTCTAGTGCCCGACTCTTCACTCCCAGGGATGTTGTTCGAATCCAAAGCACCCTCCTGCTCCCCAACAGGAAAAAACATTGTCCAAGAAGACAAACAGCAATTATTCCATCTCAACAGGTTTCCCCAATAAAACAAGATGCGGCGCAGACGGCGCGGTGCCAAGGAGACCCGGTGATGGAGAGCAGACTCACCGACAGGTAGCTGCTGGAATCCACGTTGTCAGTGATGGTCTGACGCTCGCCCCTCTGGTTGATCTTCCGAAACCTCCGACGGGACTGCCTGAGCGGGACTTCTCTTTGCAAGATGTTTTCCTCATGGTCTTTGGAGTTCTCCACCTGAAACACATGTTCAGGCTCCTGGTTAAACATCCAGTTCTTCCATATCACCGAAAGCCGATGGAGCCGTACGAAGCTCATGAGGAAAGAGCAAACATAAGTTCAGAGCAGCTCAAGTTTTCTGGAGAAAACGACGGCGGACGTTTCGGAGAGCCACTGCTGCATGTCTCAGAACTACGTTATTACAATGAGCCGGAGGCCACAGTTTCCTTCCAGGAAGCGGTGTTTTTTTTAAAAAGGCACACGTATCCTCTAAACCATGTCACTCACCAGCAGAAACCCTTGTGCACCCACACGTATCACACAACACGAGTTACAGACCCTGCTCATTGCCAGTGTATCTTCAACACCCAAGTTACTACTTCTGTACTTATAATGCAGTAAAGGCACTGAATTATATCCTCTTTTTACTGGTGTAATTTTTAAAAACATAACTTATTTTTAGTACCAGTCACAGCTAAGCAACTTTAAATATTCCAGCTTTTTATAAACAGCTACTTCGCCTAATTCCTACTGAGTTCTAATCGCTTCCAGCAGATTATGAAGAAATATCTGGAACTTGATTCATATCTTGAGGTTAAATATTATTTGCAACTAAACATTAAACATTAGGTAAATTTATCGTGTTAGTAAAAGCCAACATGAAATCTTTTTATCTCGCTAGTTACAATTCCTTTATTTCTATAAAAAGCAGTCCCTTTCCCATTTCCTTTTGATGTTTTGGAAAAATATCTCCTAGCAGGAAGCAGCACAGACGTGCATGCAAATAGGCTGCAGCCAGGCAAGAATCTCCTCTACAACACATTTGCTATGTAGGAGATTTTACTGTCCTCAATTTCTCCACCACCACCCCCCCTCCAATTTCCCTTGAAAATCCTAAAGGTAAGGCTTTAGTCCTGGAACAGAACCACCTCCTTGCGACCTTATGCAGCCCTCGTTTCACGTACCTGGGTAAATTATCTCAAAATTCAAATGGAAAAAGGTATGAAAGGATGAAAACCAGAAAGACTTAACAGACAGGAAAAAGAAAGTAATCAAAATATCTAAACCATCACAAAAGCAAGATCACATCTACCTTTCACATCACTTTTTCCAAACAGCGAAGCCTGCGTGAGGTCAGAGGAAGGTGCATGCAGCTGGGCTTGCCTTGTGGGTTACTTTAATTCCGTAGAGACAAAACATATGTTGATAACATAGATTAAAGATACAGTAGCTAAAGAGTAGCTAAAGAACCTCACACCACAGTGTTGTCAGAAAAAAAAATCAGAAAACCAGAGTTCCCCTTGCAAGGGGCAGCCACACTTTTCACTAGAATTGTACTACCGGTTTGCAAAGGCCCAGGACAATGAGCAAACATCTCCAGTAGCAGCACTGCTGTAAGCACGATGGTGTAAGGCTGTAAAAGGTACAAGGCATGGAGGCAAACAGACAAATAAAAAAAGTCCTTTTAAACAGGTCATTTAGTCATATTAAAAAAAAAAAAAGTGGTAATCAGGTTTGAGTTGGAAGGGACCTTAAAGCCCACCCAGCCCCACGCCCTGCCATGCACAGGGACACCTTCCACTAGAGCAGGGTGCTCCAAGCCTCATCCAGCCTGGCCTTGGACACTCCCAGGGATGGGGCATCCACAGCTTCTCTGGGCAACCTGTCCCAGTGCTCCCCACCCTCTGCGGGAAGAATTCCTTCCTGATGACCCATCTCAATCTCCCTCTTTCCGTTTAAACCTATTACCCCTTGTCCTGTCACTCCCCGCCCTTGGAAAAAGTCCCTCTCCAGTGGAGCCTGCTGCCCCTAGACCTCTTCCCATGATTTCCTTCGCAATATGTATCACGAGGCTGAGAATAGCGCATTGACTGGCTAGTTGCTAACCAAAGGTGGTGTTTTATTAACACTGGCAGCAGCAGAATGATTCCACACAGCCACCTTCACCCCAACACTTGCTGCCACAGAAGAATTGAGGAGGATGTAGGACTGGCCTCAGTGTCACCCTGCCGCCCGTGCCACCCCCAAATGCACTTAGATCTGAAGAATAAAATGAAAGCACCAAGGAACAACAGAAAGGAGACTTCAGTACTCAAGATACACTGCAATTCTGGGCCATTTTCCTAAGTGATAACTTATTATTAATTCAATAGATTGCTCAGCCTCCAAAACTATGAGCTACAATGCCCATTCACACACTATCTGTTATCCTCATTAACTTAAGTTGACCACATTTTACGGCCTTTAAAATGGGTCAGTTCCCAGAGGATTCCCACTAGAAAACTGATTCGTTCTAAAAACGAAGAGGGGAAAAAACCCTACCCCTCTGTCAGCGGCAGAGAATGATGGTATTCTATAACTACATTAAAGCAGCTAATTCGTTTGCTTGAAGATAAATATTCATTATGTATTAAACATCATTAGTATGTTGCAAATTTAAAAAAATAGAGAGAAAATAGAAGAATTAGGATAAATTAATAAGGATTAATCAGGGAAATAAAACTGAAGTACACCTCGTGTCAGTGCAGATCATTAGCAGGGTCCATGCCACCTTGTGTAACGGGCTTGTTCGTGACCCTGGTCCTAACAGAGCACAGTGCCTTGGCTAGGCACTTGTACGTTGCTCCTCCTCTTGCCTAAAAGCCTCAACACGGTGTGGAACTGCCAGGCTAGGAGTAAGAGGGGCTTTCCTACTAGACCCAGCACGGCTGGCATGGACAGTAGGAAGCAGTGAAATGGGGGGCAGGGGGGTATATCCAATGTTCAAGGTAGTGGGCTGTCACTGCCTGACTCGGGAATGCTCATCTCAGCCGTAACTGGTAGGCTTTTGAAACTCAAGTAAGCATAATTTTAGAAAGAATGACCTAATCATCATCATCATCTACCCATCTAGATTAAATTTACATAGCTATTGCTGTTACGAAAGCAGCCATAGGTATAATTGAAATCAAGGCAATTTTGCTGCGATTTTATGGAATGCTTTACAATAAGCTTTCTGCTATAAAACAGAAAGAATTTGCTGAAACCAGCAATAGATTTAAATACATTTGAAAAATCTGTCTTACCACAATCATTTCTGAAGGCTCCAATATGATACACTCGCATCCTCGTTTTCCTCCAGACTGCTTGCCAAAACTAGAGTGGGATGGAAAAAAGCAAACGAAAAAGAATGAGATGAACAGCCTATTTTACCTTTTCAGTGATAAAAATAATTGGCAATAGTACATGTTACAACATCCTTAAAAACAAAAGGGACAAAGAAAAATTGATGAAGACTATTGTGTGAAAAATTCTAACCAGATAGTACTATTATCGTTATTTTTGTTAATTTACTCAGCACCTCTCATCACAGCCTGCTATGTAAAGCCTAAATATAAAGAACATTCTTCTGTAAAATCATTACTGCTTGCAGATACTCCAAACCCCTCACACGGCATTTCAGAGCTGACAAGAAAACATTAGGAAATGTTAATTAAGCATTAAACAGGCTTTGTAAAAATAAATAGACATAAATTCTAAGAACCCCGAAGTACTTCCTTGCACACAGCATTTTTCACAAGAGCTTCCTCAACTCCACGTTGCTCATCCATCCTCCCAGCAAACAGGAGAACCTCTCCTCTAAAACTGAGCCTTGTGAGCTCTGTCCTTACACTGCTGGGGGTGTGTTCCAGAACAATAACCTCTTAAATCACCAAATTTGTGCCTGTAGTAGCACCTGGAATTGAAAATATCTGTCTTCACACATTACGTAAGTTTGTCTTCCCTACAGACCTGTTAGTCAAGTGGGGTTTTTCTAATTTGATGTCTGCATGGGATGGCTTTTGCTTGAGCTTAGTTGTGGGGTAGGTCGAGCTTATCTAACCCAAGCTAAGAGCATCGGGGCTGGGTTAGCCGTTCAGGAGTTGTAGCTGCCTCACTACAAACTCAGACTGTCAGCAGCAATCACGTTTTAGCACATACCAGCAGGTGAAATAACTGAAGAATCAGTTAGCTCCGAGATTAATGTGCGAATTACAGGGAGGCTAAGACAAGTGAGGAGACAAATCCTAAAAAAAGTGGGTCAGCTCCATCTGTTTTCCCCAAGGTTACGTTGGGTGAGTACGCCTGAAGCTTCAGCTCCAGAACATGTCTGAGTTACATACGGGGTCATCTCCACAGCAGACACCCACTGAAACGCAACCACTTGGTAGAAAACGTTTAAAAGGCTCATCCTTACAAATGATGCAAAACTTTGGTAAGACACCTGCATTTTCAGGGAAGGAACTTGAGCAACTCAGCTGTGAAGTTATTCAAGCCAAACCTCGGATTATTCCAACAATGAAATTATCAGTGCAATCCGGTTAGGATAAAGTATTACAACTAATAGGGGCAGGCCTAAACTGCCAAGTTTGGAGTTTGCTAACCGTCTACTGAAAAAAAAAAAAAAAAAATCCTTAAAGGTCATGATTGCCATGGAGTCATAAGTGACAACTGAAATTTTCTCACCCCGGCCAGAGAAACACAAGTTTCACAGGGAAAACTGGCATTTTCACACATCTATAGTAAGCAACTCCTAGCTAAAATTTTCATGCCTTCTTTCATGCTTTTTCCACATGGCATGTGATCCAGGCATGACAGTCTTGTGCGTTTGCCACAGTTCAAAAATAATGGCCAAGCTACTCCAACCATTACAACGAAGTTAATTTAGTTCAGAAAACACAGAAACATTGTTTTCCATGTAAACTCACTGTAAGCTCTAACTGAGGCAAACGAAGTCCCACGTTATGATTTATCCACAAACCAAAAACCAAAGTGAAACCAACTGTGTTAAGGTATCATCGGCAACGTCACGAAGAAGTTAAAACAGTTCTAATTTTATCGCATACAATAGAAAACTAAAGACAACAGGGTTTTTTCCCCCCCCCCAACAAAATTCTAAAGGAATTACAGGCAACTGGAAGACTGTTTTTTCAGACGGAAATCATCATTATCACTATGCTATTATCATTATACTATTGCTATACCCCCAGCAGTTAGGAAAAAGCTATGATTTCCTGCTGCAGATTGTCCAAGCACAGTATTTTTCATAGAATCCCAGAACAGTTTGGGTTGGGACGGGCCTTAAAGCCCATGGGCAGGGACACCTTCCACTAGACCAGGTTTTATTGTATAACAACAATTTATCCAGCTACTGGAGGTTGAGGGAGGGTTGTTAGCTTTTTGGTTTGTTTTACATAAACATACCCATGAAATTCAGCTCCTGTCAAGTTCCCGTCTGCTTATGTTGCAACATTTGCTAATTAAGTAATGGCAGTAAACAATAAAGCTAGGAAAGAGAACGCTGCTTGTACCAAAGGTCAAGCTCTTGGCACTATCATCTCGGGTCCATCAAGCACTTTACAACAAGCCAACACTAAGAGGAGGATTATGTTCCAAGGCAAAATCCACCCTTCTAATCCTGGAGAATAAACTACTCATATTAACAAGTCAATAGTGTAATTATTTCCTGGTGCACATCATGAGATGTTTTATCAATTACACCGCAACAGAGCTCCCTCACAAAGAGAGGGCATCACAGGATTCTTCCCCAGCCATGACCACCACCACGTTTTAAAAACAACGATTTTTAACGTTCTTCTTACTCAACATACCCCACGTGTTTTAGAAACAAGGGTTTTAACTTTCTTAATGACTTATCCCATGTTCTTCTCTAGAATACAAACGTGTAGCTCCACTATCATTTAAGAGGTTTGCCGACATCAGGATATTTCACCAACCTGCCAGATTTAATCAAGGCTGCAGAACGAATTTTAAAAACAACGATTTTTAACATTCTTCTTACTCAACATACCCCACGTGTTTTAGAAACAAGGGTTTTAACTTTCTTAATGACTTATCCCATGTTCTTCTCTAGAATACAAACGTGTAGCTCCACTATCATTTAAGAGGTTTGCCGACATCAGGATATTTCACCAACCTGCCAGATTTAATCAAGGCTGCAGAACGATGTTCATTCCTAATTGGCTTGTAAAATTACACAATGGAATGCTTAGAATAAACAGAAACTCAGCCCTGAAACCATTCACCAGGGAAGACTTTCTTCCGCAGTGACATCCACTAACAATAACGACAGGCTACAGGAAAATATCATCAGCAAATACGTAAGCAAGGATGAACGCGTATTTGTCTAACTGACAGAAGGTGGCAATGTATGACAATCGCCACAGTTTGTTTTCTGAACTACACACCATTAGTCAACATTGAAGTTCAAATATTTGCTGTATTTGTTTATTGTCACAGAATTAGAGTTTTAACCAGTTCAGGCAAATGCATTAGGCAAAATTAAAAACAGCCAGAAGCAGAGCACACGCGCATCCAAGGGGATGACGGAGAGCGAGGAGGCACAGGGAGAAGCAGCAGCGTAACAGCCCCAGCGTCATCCAAACCTGCTCTGAAGTGACGGTCAAAGTCCGTGAGGGAATTTTAGGTAAGCAGCAGATACTCATCTTTTTTTTTTTTAAGAAATAATCTCAACCATAAAATTAATTAATAATCATAGAATCCCAGAAGGGTTTGGGTTGGAAGGGACCTTAAAGATCATCCAGTTCCAACCCCCCTGCCATGGGCAGGGATACCTTCCACTAGACCAGGTTGCTCCAAGCCTCATCCAGCCTGGCCTTGGGCACTTCCAGGGATGGGGCATCCACAGCTTCTCTGGGCAACCTGTCCCAGTGCTTCACCACCCTCTCCATGAAGAACTTCTTCATGTTTAATCTAAATCTCCCCTCTTCCACGAGCATTGAAACAGTAAAAGAACGGCATAATTAGGTTTTGGAGTCACCTAGTCGTGTCTAGCATTAAACCTGCCTTCTAGTGAATACATGTTCACATTACAAAAATTTACAGAACAGTACTTAAAAAGGTATGAAAAAGCTTAAGAGATTAACTGATTCCAGTATCAAGACGTAAGAGGAAATGGAAAAGGTTATGTTGACCAAAGCTTTGGAAATGGGGAAGAGAAAATTGTGTTTGGAAAGACAAGAGCAAGCTTTGTATGGAGCGTTCTTCCAACGGAGGAGGAACATTTCTGTGACAACAAACTATTCAGGTAAGTCTTTACAATCAGCCAACATCCACCCAACCCCAAAACATGCTCCTTCTCATGGAGGGGAGCACAGAAAAGTTGTACATCTAATTCTGGAAGAGAGAGGGCTATCTTTTCCTTTGGGACTAATCCTTCTTTGCTGCGGTGCCAAGAACACGGGGTGTTGCGGAAGCCGACATTCCACAGTCTTCCTGGTTACCCGACTCAGCACTCAGACCACCACCTTCCCAGAAGACGACGACCATGGACGTCACTTCACAGGGCTGGGTTTGCTCCCTGCAGAGGTCTGACCCCACAAGCCCATTTCAGTCGGCCAGCAGCACCTCAGCTTCCAAACCACTCCAGCAGCTTCTCCAGCCACACACACCCCTAAACTTCCAGTTCTCTTGATGCCGTATGCAGTGAGATACGGAAGAAAAGCAGGAAAGCCTCACCAAGGTACAGCACATTATGTGTGCTTCCAAGCAGAGAGTGGGGGAATACAGCCCAATTAAGAATTTAATCTTATATGAATACTGAAAGTGTGAGAAAACACACAACTAATGTGAATTAAGCTCTACTTACAACACAGGAAAATCTATGCCAAAGGACATACTACCCAAGGTATAACCATTAAACAATCCACCAATTAAAATTTTGCTTGATCTCTGTATTTAATCACACATATTGTAATAGGGTCTTAAATTTAACATCATTATTTTATAGATTCTCAGAGTTGGAAGCCCAGAAAAGTCAGTACTGTAGACTACGTTACGCTTTTCTTTATTTATAATTTTATTGCACGCTCCTGTCACTTAATATTCTTCTATTACATCTGCATCATTAATTTTCAGACACTTGCTGGCTTGCAACACTGTCATGGGGAAAAAATGTCTTCCACATACCAAAGGCAGCTTTGTTTACCCTTGATTTATGGATGCCTCATTTGCAAGAAACCTCGTTTTCCTCCTGATTCACTGCTATTCATAATTAAAAATGCTTAAGCGATTGCATCATATGAGAAAGGAATGTAAGTTACACTGGCACGGTGTCATATACCAGCCACTAATGG